CCAATGTTTCACCACTCTTTCAGTAAAGAAATTTTTCCTCGTGTCCAATCTAAGCCTCCTCTGGCACAACTTGCGGCCATTTCCTCTCGTCCTATCCTACGTTTTGAAACGTACTCGTTGAGTACAGGGAGCTGCTCTCCAAGTTCAGTCCAAAAGACACTTTAAAGGTGTTTAGTTGAGTTGATGGAATGATTCACTGAGAACAAACCTAGTGTAGGAAGAACCACAGCTGATCTTGAGATCTTTAATCAGAACAGTTCTCATCATGATACGTTTTCCAAATTTGTGCAGTTCATGTTTTCTGTGTTCTGCAAAGATTCTCTTGTTTTCATGTCACATGCAGTTCACAAAACTTGGGCTTTGCAGAGAATGCGCATTTTATTAATAACTTTGCATTCTTTTTTTTTGAAGTAACTTCTGTATTTGAGTGAAAGTTTTCTGACAATCAACTGTCACACGTAAGCAAGAGCATATATAAGCACTTGGATTATAGTTGGGCCTCAAGAATTTCTGTGTATTAGAATTTACACGCCTGGACTTTGGCAAGCGGAAACTCTTTGTTTTATTCATTGCACTGAATAAATAATTTGTTTTATTAATTCATTGTATTTAAAGTCAGTCTTTCCAGCCGTGTTCATTTATAGTTTATGAACGGGAGAGCACAGTGAAAAATTGTGCTTTTTATTTTTGTCTGTTGGTTTAATGTAGTAGTTGTAGAAGTCTGTTAAAGGATAGTGGTAAATGGCAACGTGATCAATGCATCGAGCACTGTGTTGCCGGGAGGTAGAGATGCAAAGATTTGAGGCTTGTTTTTCCTGAATCATGGGCAAACTGCTTAATTTGTTTGTCAACATTTTAAGATAACACTGTTTTCCTGCCATAAAGGGCTGTTCAGGTTTAACTAGATTATTCTCATAACTGCTAAGCAGAGTTGAACATAAAAGGGGCCAGCGTTGCCTGACCTTCTTGACTCGGTTGTTCTGACCTGCGGTGTCCGAATAATCACATGCCAGTGTTTGTTCTTCAGAAGCCACTGTTTGTTCTCAGTGAAGCATTGTGGCAAAGTCTGTATTCTACCTGTGGCTTAGATTTTTCCATCCTGATCTGCTAGGTGTAAACAGCAAGTGATTTTTGGTACTGGTTGCTCTCTTATGTGCTACTTGCTTTATGATAAGTGATAACATTAACAAAACCAATCCGAATCGGGAAATCGGTGGAAAATGATCCAGTATAAAACTGGGGTTACCAGATTTCTATGCAAGGGCCTTGAGTTTCATCATCAGCTGGCTAGACTGCTTCAAAAATCTATTTTTAATTTTAAATTTCATGCTATATTTCTGTATAGTAGAGTTAAGGGCTTTTTTTTCTTCCTTCAGGATGTCCCTTGTGGGCTTTTCAAACTTTTTGCCAGGCTGGAGATTAACAAGCAACTTGTTTCCCATGTTTACTGAGTACTAGCAAAGTTGTGTCTTCGGGCAGCATGAAATGAGGTGGCAGGTTTGCCAGTTCCCATGTGAAATAGCCTTTTTTTCAGTAATGCAAAACCAGGTCAATAGTATTTCAAAGAACTGCTGTACGAAGCTGAGTGTCTTACAGGTTATATACAATGTGATTTCTTTTCATTTAGTTGATATTATCGACCTGAGAACTCAGCTTAAGAGTAACTAATACTCTGTGGGAGACAACTCTGAAGAAAGATCTGGAAGTACATGGTTATCAAATATACATATATATACACACACCCACTTTTTAAAAACAAAAATGCAAATTAGTTGGAGTCTTGCTCCTAGGTGATACAAATGAATTATGGAAACTTACCGCTCCTTGCTTTTCATTCTAGCCTATAAAAAGAGCATCGATTTAGGGCATGCTCTAGGAGCTGTATCCAATTTTAAAAGGAGAGTAGGTAAGACATTGTTTTCCACCTTTCAGGTAACTAGAAAGGCCATTGATGAGCTATCTCTTACTGCTTTTAATTCTGCATACCCACACTTTAAGAATTATTTTTAAAGTACTGGAAATGTTGGCATTACAGTGAGATGTTTTTGGAATGTGTATTTGGTGGTGATTCTCTGAAAGATGTTTTTTTGTGTGTGTGTCTAAACCAGGGTGGTAAATCGCGTGAAAAAGTGGTGAAGATTTTGGTATCGATGACGCCAGATGAGATTTTAGAAAAACTGAAAAAAGAAGCTTCCGGTTGACCTAAGGCAAGAGCGAGAAATGGGACAATGCATCTTGGTAAATGGACTGATATTCTTTCTTACGTAAATCTAGTCCTGCTGAGAATGTGGGTAATGACTAGGGAAAGATGCTTCTCTTCCCCCGCCCGCCCTTGTTAATATAGCTGCTGTATAGTTGAAGTTTTTGTGTAGGTTTGGTTAGAAAAACTTGTCTTTACTGAGGCTCCGCATCTGCTTCTGTCACTACAGACTTTTTTCCCCCTCTGGAGAGTTTCCCGTTGGTAAGATTTGTCCTCTCCCCTGGTCCCTAAACAAATGGTTTAGAAAACTTGTTTCTTAGGGAAACAAACTTTGGTTACCAAAGTGAAAGGCTTGGGGTGACAGGCTTCCATGCGAGAAGAAAAGTGGTACCAAAGGATGAGTCTGGATGGTAAAGACCCTAGAAGAATGTTCTCTTCAATATCTAGCGGCAGGTACTGGGTGCAGTTTTGCGCTATGAGCACATATGTACATCTAAAATAAACGTATTTGAAGCCAATGTACTGTTGCTGATCACACAGGCAAGCGAAAAGCAGAATCACCTGAATAACTGAAACAAAACCAGAAGTTTGCAGTATGAAAAACGGATCCAGAGCCCAGTGGTTGTGTACGCGGTGTCACATTGTGATAGTCTGTAATCCGTTTCCTGAAAAGCAGAGATACGATCACGTATCTTTGCCAAATGTATGTCAAGTGTAATGGCTGTTTTTAATAAAAGGGGCAAAAACTGTTATCAAACTTTGTTTTGTGTTTATATTTTTAGTCAAAAAAGATTGTTTCCTAGCAGTCACTTATTAGAATGTTATTTTTAAACAGAACTTTTTTGCAATCTTTCCTTGGTTTAAAAATGAGTAGTATTCCAACTCATAGAGAACCCAGCAGAGTCTCATGTGGAACAGAACAAGAAGTCTGAAACAAAATGGGCAACTATATTCCAGTCTCAGGGCTAATGAGAAGAAGGCTTAACTTCTCTCTTTATCGTGCTCCAGAGGTCAGAGTAAGATTTAACTAATATTTCACAAAAATGTGTGTGATATTGTACATGTCTCTGGTAGGAGTTTGCTTTTTCATCTGCATCCCTGCTGATGTCTGAAATTGTCCTATCTTTACTATGGTTGTCATTTAAATATGTGTGTGTATATAGATATAAAAATGTAATGCCTAAAGTAAAAAAGAAAAACTGTTCTGAAGGTTTGTTTAAGGTTTGTCATACCTTCTCCTGGAAAACAATGTTATGAGTGCAAAAGTTACAGCTAAATTTCTTTACCAGCTTCGTGCAGTGCAGACTTCATAGTTCATAATTCAGTTGTTCATGGTCAAAAATCTTTTGCTTTGGAAAATTCTTTCTGCTTCCTGTAATCCTAAATATTGCAACAATTGTTCTTAGTGCCGGAGAACTGGTGCTCGTCGAGATGACGGCTCCTTCAGGGTGACTCATTTTCACAGATGTTATGAAAAATGTTACTTTCTTGTTTGGACGGTGTTTGGAGAACTAAGTCTAAATTACGAATGCTGCTTGCTTCATGGTTTGCGTCAGGGCTCCTTATTTTCTAAGGCTGTTGTTCAGCCATGCGTTGCCTCAGTTGCCGTTCCTTACTTAGCCTTTTCGGTCTGTATAGACCAGTTTTGTTTTACTGTTCTGTCAGTTTTGGTTCACGGCTCCTTGCTGTTTCGTCTGTTCTTGCCCAGCAGAGGGGTACCGTGTCTTGCAGAAAAATTAAGGCAAAGCAAGCCAAAACTAAAGTGTTCACGGTTGGGTTTTTTTTTCTTACTTCCTAAACTACTTTTTATTGTCGGTAGAAAACAGCAACCCAAAGACTGAGGAATCCTGCATTTGTAAGTTGTATTCTGAGCTGGATGCTGCAACAGCCATTATAACGATTTCTTTGGAAGCTAATGCCGTGTGTTACATGATATGTATTATATACTATATTGAAATAATGTATTGCACTTTCCCGCGACTTCAGACCCAGATCGAGGGAGGAGCTGGGTAGGCAGATACAGCCTCTGAAGTACATTGGTCTTCAGTGATGATTACCTACAACAACAGCCAATTTAATCTTTCAGTTCCCTCTCTGTCCTGTCAAACACGGTCTGCCTGGTGTCTTTGCGAGCTTCTGCTTCAGAGGTTTCACCTTTCCTAAACACCTTCAGCTGGCATTCGGCATCTTTTCTTCCTAATCAGTGAAAGTAACTGGAAGACAAATAGGGTGCCTTCGGTGTATTATGCTGTCATTTTTCTGTAAAGGGAGCCAGGCACATTGTCATATTCATCACCTGTCAATCAGGAGACAAGTACTGTTCAGCTAGGAAGTTTATTAGTCCTTGGGGAGACAACCACCGTGCCCTCCTCCCTACTGCATTTCTGTTTTCTATTGCATTTACAAGGGTGTGCGTGGGGAGGGGGGAGCCGTTTATATAATACTAATTTTGCGCTTGGCCAAGCCAAGTACTTTTTCTTTCGTCTGGATTGTAATATGGCATTTAAGACTCACTTTAATCTGTCCAGTTCAGTCATCGTACAGTATTTTTTCAAAACTTGTTGCAGTTGGCTGGTTTTTAGCATTGCTTCTTAGGAAGCAGAAATGTTATCGGTGGCATGTATTGAAGCCCTAGCTTCTGTTGCTCAAGGCATCACTTAGTTGAGGCCTCAGTGACTGTGTAAAAAAGCCATAGCAGATGGAAGCCACAGTAGCAATCAAAGCAGAGGGATGGAAATTAAGTTCTCCGGGTAGCAGTGCCCTGTCTCACTTAAGACTGCAACAGTGGACTCGCTAGCAGTGTGGCAAACAAAGCCTTTATGTGCTGGGAACAGAGAATTTATTTAATATGAGTAACCAAAATTATTTTAGAAGGGTAGTATAAATTAACACTGGGGTGTTGCCGTATCTAATATCTGAGAGCCTCTGGTATCAATGTTTTTCATGCAGTCTTCCAATTATATCCATAATGTCTTGGTTGTGGATACGTGTATCCTGGTGAAATGCCTGGGAGGCAGGAATTGCCGGTCCATTGTGTATCAAAAGTGAGGTACAGAAGAGTTAAGCAGCTTGCGTGACCAAACAAGTCAACGCCAAAACTGTGATTTAGGCCTGGCAGTTTCAAATCTTGTATTGAAATCCTAACCTGTCAGCTATCTCTTCGTGAACACAGCGAAATGTCTTTCATTCTATTGAGAAAATTGTGGTAGAAAATATCCCTAACTCTTCAGCAGAGTATGTTTTTAGTAGAACAGAGCTTTGTGATATTGTAGGAGGCTTCTTCCAAGAATTTCAAAACACTTTTCACGTCCCCTGTCTCAAAATAAAGCTTAACTCTTACTCCTAGACCAGTTTAAAAACATTGTGGTGCCAGTTGCTACCCTCCTTTTAATTGTTGGTCCTTGCTTGTTCTGGTTGTGGCTGGGATAGAGTTAGTTTCTTTCCCAGTAGCTGGCACAGTGCTGTGTTTTGGATTTACCAGGAGAATAATGTGATAACACACCGATGTTTTAGCTGTTGCTGAGCAGTGCTTACACTAGTCAAGGACTTTCCAGCTTCCCATGCTCTACCGACTGAGCAGGCTGGAGGTGCACAAGAAGCCGGGAGGGGGCACAGCCAGGACAGCTGACCCCAACTGGCCAGAGGGACATTCCACACCATGGGACGTCATGCTCAGTACATAAACTGGGGGAAAGCTGGCCGGGGTGGCCGCTGCTCGGGGACGGGCTGGGCATCGGTCAGCAGGTGGTGAGCAATTGCATCATGCATCACTTGCTTTGTGTATTCTTCTTATTATTGCTATTAGTAGTATTTTATTTTATTTTATTTCAATTATTAAACATCTCAAATCTCAACCCACGGGTTCTCTCACTTTTAGTCTTCCGATTCCCCCCCCCCCCCAGGGGGGGGGGCAGTGAGCGAGCGGCTGGGGGGGGTGGGTTGGCGGCTGGGGGTTAAAAGACACTCCGTGCTCAGTTGCCGGCTGAGGTTAAACCACGACACTGCTTTATCTGTGTGCATTAAGCTACATGATTACTCAACTACTTGAAATCCTACTCTTGACTCAAGCACCGTCCTCTTTTCCTAATGCGTTGTCTGACCAATTTCAGTAAAATCTGTCTATTGGTGATTTAATATCTTACTGCTTACAGACCTGGGCAGTCGGTGCATTTTTTTGTATGATTAAGTTACATTAGCAAAATAGAAGTTAACTGAATAAATTCTATGCCAAGCAGTCTTACGGCATAGAACATTCTTGGTCTTTCATCCACTCGGTTACATTTATTTTCTAAAATCCGACTTTGAAAGTAGGTATGTGGTTTCATTGCGGTACTCTAATATGCTAATTAAGGATATTTAATTATACCCTCTGAAGGTGGCCTCTTTGCTCTTTTACTTTCAATCCACTCCATTTATCATCTGCAGCGCGTTCCTATCTCTCCTTTTAGTCCCAAGTGTTTCGAAATCCCCATTTCCTCAGGTATCATCAGTCTGAATAATCCGGTATAATTGACAACTTTGTCAATAACCGGCAGTGGCAATTTACCAGAAAGCACAGTTTAATATCTTCCTTCTTTCAGCCTCCAGGAGGACAGATACACCTGATCTTTCTGCTCATTACTTCACATGTCTCGCTCTGCGTTTCCCCTCTCATACCGTTTATTTGCATATGTAAAACTTGAACCAGCTGAGTCCCTTTTTTAATTTTTTTTTTAATTTCAACCTACTATATTCCCCTCTTAATGTTTTTAATGTCTTTATCTCAGGAGGATGATTCATTGCCATATTAGCTATTATAAAAATGTGCTCCCCTGTCTCCTTCTGGGAACAGAGTGCTTCACCCGCCTGTAGAGCCCATCGTGGCTGTCGTTCTGTAGGAAGGCTGCTGCACTTGGGGCAAAGCGCTGTTAACGTAACCACGGCACGATAAACGGTCAAGAAGCTGCTGAAGAAATGAAATACTTGCCTGAAAGGAGGAGTCTGATATTTCTGTAAGGTACTGGGAATTCATTTCTTCCTGGTCCTTTTATATATTAGCTTTTCAAGTAGTCGTTAGTGAGCCATGAAGAATTTTGCTTTCATCTATAAATGCTGCATTTATTTGGTTTTGCGTTGTTGCAAGAGCTGGGGAAGTTAGAGTGGTGAAGTAGCCTACCATACCATCTTACTACAGCTCGAGGCTCAGGTTTTGGAATGTTGTTTAAATAACATTTTGAGTTTCCAAGTCTGAAGTAAGGCAGGTGGAAGGGGAAATATATTGAGCATCAATTTAGCAGTTGGTCACCATAGAAATGTGCTATAAAGAGAACAGTTAACCATGGACTTAAGGAGAAAAGAATGTTGGAATTAACAACAGAGGGTCGAAGCCTCATTTTGTGCCGCTCAGATAAAGCAGTTGTCTGCCTTCAGAGGATAACTGGGGTTCCAAAGTGTAATTCTGGGCTGATTGTCATTAAATTGCCTTTTTTCTCTTGCTTAGTACCTGCGCAGTGCAGATGGGAAGGGCTGCAGCATGTTGTTCCTTTGGCCAGCTTTCATTGCTGTGGTGTTTTGCAGACCAGGATGCATTGAGGCATAATTTATAAAAAATGTCAAAGCTCTCAATACGTGTTAGGACATACTTGGTGCCCGTCTGCCTGCAAGGGGCGTTAGCAAGTTGAGTTTTATGGAACAAGCTATTTCTATGGAACCTTTTTTTACCGGTGCTACTTTCGATAGCTTGTCTTAAAACCTACAAAGTTTTCTGCTTCTTTTC